GAAGATTTCTCCCTCTTTGTCTTATTTCTACTCTCCACTCTTTGGTCTTTGTTTTTCAAACCTTCTTCCTATTTTTGTGGGTTTTTTTTTTCTTTTCAAATTGCCTCATAATTTAGCATTTGACCATGGCACTTTTGGACTGCTGCCAGCTTAATAATGCCTGTGGTATATTATACCTGGATATTAATGTGGTGGATCTGCTGTTCAAGTACACAAAGAAAGACCATTATACTTGAGCTGCTTTACACAATGCCACTCTGTGTTTATCTAAAGCTGTACTGGATTCCTCTGCTGAGTTTCACAGTACATGTGAAAGAAATATCTGTCTCTCTTGCTGCCAGCCATTGCAACGATGACTTACTTCATCATTCTTCCGTCTAGACTTTTCTTCTCATTTACTGTTAACTTTCTTTTAGCTGGATACATTTGCCTGAGTTTTTTTGAGAATGTGTCTTGGTTTTGTTTTCCACTATTAGTTGAAATCTCTCCAGGATCCTTAGCGTTATTTTTATATTCATCCCAGTTACAACTTCTCTCAGTCTGACATATCTGCCTCTTCCTCCCCCAGCTCTTTTACAAATATCTAGATCTCTTATTTGCTCTTAAGGCTGAAACACATATATAACTGGTTTAATAAGTACTTTTACAAAGCAGTGCAGTCAAAAAGACACCAAAGGTGGTAGCCTGAGGAGCATGGAACGTTACTCAGAGGAGTGATATGGGGGATCCAAGGCTGGCATTCCAACCTAAGTCAAGCTGAATGGGAAAATCCAACCGAGGGACAACTGAGGAAAGCTCTGTCTCCAGTTCAGGAAAAGCTTACAAGGACTTGGAAGGGACCGTCTTGTAAAGAGTACATTCCTAGCATCCATTAATTCAAAAAGGTGAACATTCCTTTGTGTAGAATGTGTAGAGAGAAATAACTTATACAGCTAACCAAAAGTGCTCACCAAGTTACAAGTAAACCACTGAGGAGATGAGCATGCACTATCTGCAATTCTGCCTCTGACTCTTTGTAAAAAGAAGCCAAAATCACGGTTGGCAGCAATTCTGAAATGCAACAGTAATCCACAAATACTCCTTAATTTTCCTGTCATCGCAGAATTAAGCTACTTCCAGCTCACATAGATCTTACCAGGTGTGCTAAATTGATGTCATTATAAGCCATCAGGAAATACCCACAGAGACCTGTAGCAACATTTAGAAGTTTTCTTAAACAGCTGTGTGTTATAATTGATTTGTATTATTTAAAACAGCTAAAGCAAGTTATCGCCGGATGTAGAAAAGGGATGAGTGAAGACTCTAGGGAGACTTAACTCAGAAGAAAGCCAATCACAGGAACTTCATTTGAGCATTTTAAGATTATCACCAGAGGAAGTGCAATTAAATCATTACCATTTATCAATCATCATTATAAAATACTATGCAACCTTATCACACTAATTTATTTATGAGAAGGTAACTGGTTGACTTTTGCTTTTTGCAGTAAAAACTATCTTGTCAGTAAAAACATCTGAATATAATTTCTCTGAAAACAACTGTGACTTTCCACAATAATGAAAAGTAATTACAAAAGTCCAAATTTTACCTGAAATTTGGTTTTGGTCATGTAAGTGCTAAAACGTTAAATTCTTTGGAGCTTATGCAATGTCTCAGCTCCTCGTATGAGAGCTGTTTTACCATAGAGAGTATAAGCCCAAATACAGTTATAGCAAAAATGTGCACAGGCATGGCACCCAGAATTCATTAAATATATGGAATAATAAGTCCCAAATATTAGCGTAAGATCCTGAATCTGGGAGAATAAAAGGCGGTGTGATTTTCTTTTCCTAATCTGCCAACTATTGAATCAAAGTGCAAAATCAGCCCTAGTTAAAAGTAACATCATCGTGGACAGTGCTAAGCTTAATTTTTCTTCTCATGGTGGATTGCTCGTAGAATTTAAAATATGTATCTGTTTTAGAGCAAAATCCTAACTCTTTTCTCTCTGCTGTTCGTGTGTACTGAGAGTTCAAGCTTGATTTGGTGAGTTTGTCCAGTGACTTGCATTACACGATCCATGTCCCTGCAGGCAAAGCCTAACCCACATAACAAAATGGGTCAGCAGAAAAGCAGAAAGGAAAAAGAAAATGCTGCATTTCAACTCAGAACCCTGATTCATTTGAGGGGGGAAAAAATACTCTCATAGCCCTAACTCCTGCTTTGATCTGAGGCTTGCAGGCTAGTGCTTACAGTATGTTTTTATTATCTTTCATCACTCCTTTGAGAATACTCTGATTTTTACTGCTGTTTTATATTTGAACTGGCATATGCATCTCTCAGTTTACAAGGGGAAGTTTTTGTTGCACCAGTGGCTGCTGGCACTGAAAATATGGTAGTGTTGACACTGCTAAATGGTACAGATGCTTTCCTCTGCTCTGACTCAGCTCCACAGAGGTACGATCCCACAAACCGTGCGTTCCTTTGTCTTCTGGTCACCTGACAGAACGACCATAAGCAAACGCACCCTTGTTGACTGGTGCCTTTCTGCTTTCATCTAAAATTAAAACTGTAGACCTCTTAAAGCTGCTTTCCCAGAGGCCCTCTCTCGCTGCCATGCGGGAGAGTACATTTCCAATCCAGGAATGCAGCTGGGGCCTTTGGACCAAGTTCAATACTGATGTGAAACAGGCAAACCTCGCCAAATCAAGGCAGTGGAATCCAATGGCCTTGAGCCACAGGTACCTGGTCTTCAGGGAGAATGTGTTCCTACAAATGGCGTAGAAGTAAAAGGAAAGTAATCCCAAATTATGCAGCGGGATTGTTGGAGGATCTTAACTTGTCGGGCTTCTTCTACCTACCAGCAGCTACAGTATCGTGCTATCAGCCTGAAGGACAGTCTGCATTACTCCAGGATGAACAGTTCAACTTGATTTGTAATCTCCATACTTGATGGTAAGTCACCTTGATGTCATGTTCATTAGTATTTTGCTGCTACAACTTTGTTAAATTCTCCAAAAGGTGTTTCCTTACATCCTAAATCTGTGTTTGTCACTGTACTCACATTGTCTGAACCACCTCTGGAGAGGTGTCACAGAGACAACAGGTTCAGCACTCCACACATTCCACCACTCAACACAGCTGTTTATGCATGCCTTTTTGTGTATGTATCTCACACACTTCTCTGGTTATTAGATGCAGGACAGTTTCACTTTACTGTTCCTTAGGAGGCAAAAATAGTCTCTGGGTGGGAATGACCTGGTTTCCCTTTTGGCTTCCACCACTGCGATTTTACACATTCCAAACATATATCTTATGCTTTATTCTCAGTAGTACTGTGATTTAGTACCTACAGAGAGCTGTAGGTTCTTGCAGTGCTCTGCAGATGAACAGAAAGAGGCTGTGCTTTCTACAGAGCAGCCTGAACGTGGCTTCAGGCCATGGTCTAATGTGGGTGTAGAGAAGGCACACCACCTCTGGAGTGCACACAGCAGATCCTCCTGTACATTTTTGCAGGTGAGAGCATAAACTATGCACAAGCCAGAACAGCTCAGCTGGGAAATACCAGAGGTTTCAGCCCTAAAGGACTCCTAGCACCTGACTGCAGGGTTACTGGTCTCTGTCTACCAGGAGTGCAAGAAGGTCGATGCAGTGAAGGAAAAGTTAATTAAACCCTTTGCCTCTCTATGCATTAACAGCCATGATTTAGCTACAAGACTGAAACTTCAGCTATAAATCATAAAACTTTATACAGAAAAATCTGAACTGCAATACTTTCTTGTGGAGAAGATCAGTAAGTAACCTGATACCATACTACATTATTTTATTAAAAACTAATTTTCTCATCTTCATTCTGTAGTAGACAAGTCAGGTAATTAATATTTTATGTAAATGCATGTGTTATGAGAAGCTGCAAACTCACAGCTGGAACACAGACATGCACAGCAAACATCAGAAAACCAATGCTTGCTAGGTTCTCAGGGAGATATTATAATATAAATAATAGTCCGTGGCTGCAAAAACATCAATGATGGTTGTGTTCCCATAATTGAGTACCATCTTCCAAATAGGTATCCTGTAATTAAACTGTATTAGCTGAATTAAGGAAACACCTGTAGAACTCAGTTGAGATTTTATCCCTGTTGTGTCAGCTGCTGTGGTAAGAGACCTGTGTACCTGGGAACAGCTAAAATCAAAATGTCAAGGAAGGAAAGGGTAGGAAGAAAGGACACAATATTATCTTCATCTGATGATAAAAAATTCACACCCAGAGAGTCTCTGTTCTTTGTCCAAACTTGCACTGGAGGCCTGGAGCTAAGGGAAGAAACCAGAGCAACCAACTCAGCTCTGAGCTATATCTCACTCTTTTTTGAACAAATGTGACTGGCTTTAAGGGAATCATCACTACAAGCCTAGGAACAGTTGCTGAAATTATCTGGTGACTTTAAACCTACTTTAAATAAAACTGCTCTGAGTCTAGAAGAGGGCAGTGGTATCACTGTTTAGTAATATGTTTCCTCTTGTAAAACATGGCATTCATTAACTACTCATTCTTAAGGACATTAGTCAGCAATAACTTATTATTTGATTGAGAGACCAATTTTCTCTCCCTCAATCCTAAGGATTGCAAGTCCATTTAAAACTGAAAATTACACAGTAATTTTTGGTAATTTGATTAATAGATGATCTGTAAAATGTTACATTAATATATTGTACTTATGCATATAAGTCTCTTTTGTATTTACCCAAACTCATGATTACTCAGAAACTGCCTGAAGTTTTCAGGCTTGGCTTTGGAGAAGTATTTAAAATGAGAGATACTGTCACATTAAGTCTTATTGGTGGCGAACACCAATACATTCTCCAAAACCCAGGACTGAAACTATTGTTGGTAACTGGCTCAGCAAAACCTGAGTTAGACTTTCATCTATTTTACTTGTGTCCAGGAGGGGAATAAGGCCATTGAGGATTCAGGCATATATTGCATTCATCAATTTTGTGAAGGACCAGTGGTTTCTCACCTGCTGTGTAATAGTGTCCCAGGGCCCTTCCAGCAGACGAGGCTGGTAGCATGCATGAACACTTTTCCATATTTCATCCAGAGTTAAAGGTCTTCCATCTGTGAGGGAGGGGAAGAAGCACCCACAGTCAAAGCTCTTAAGCATGCTAGGTCTTCAATACAGAATAGCAAAAGTAAATCTGAAAATACTGATTATCTGGAAGCAGATGGAAAAAATAACAGCAAAACGTGACTGAGCCCCTTCTGGTCCCATAATTCCAAACCAGTGTTGCTCAAATCATGACTGAAGGTGTACCTAAAACTACCCTAAATTCCCTGTTCAGCTTTCTTCTCTGTCACCCGAGAGTAACAACTTATGATTCTGTTTATATGATGTGTAGTTAAAGTAATTTTCTGTAAAACAATGCTTAGATAAGGTAAGTCTAAAACTGAAAAAAAACCCAACAAAACAAAAACAAACAGCTCTTTCCTGTAAATACATGCAATTCATAACAAGTGGAAAAAATCTAAGGAACAAAATTCTGCAGACAGAAGTTTACTGCATTCTGCATTTTGGTAACTTACACGCCCATAATATCTTCTTGAGCTGCATTTATATAGCATTGTTGCATCATGGTCTAAGTGGAGACATTAGAGCTACGCCAAGATACTAGTGTCAACCACTTACAAAAAAAAAAAACACATCAATTTTTCCTGAATATTTGTTTTCAGCAAACAGCAATAGAATATTTTTATATGCTTTCAATACGTAGCTTCATCTTGGCATTTATTAGGTGTCAGAAACCATTATCCTGTGATAAATATTTTTATTCTACTGACATTTTCATGTCTGTAAAATGAACAAGATTTATTCACCCAATTAACATTTGAATGCCATGTTTAGATCTAAGTTAAAACCAGCTGCCTACAGCCTCTGTTTTATCTTGTTTTCTGCATGTATCTATAAAAAAGCTCTGAGTTCTGAACTTCAGCAGAAGCATGTGGCAAATTAAGCATCTGAGGGGGTAAAAGCACACAAACTAGCTGTGCTGTGCCATCCTCATGAACATGATGAGACTTGTCAGGCCGATGTGGCCTCTGTCTTAAGGCAGCAGACACCAGAGCTGTGCTGGAGATGGTCTAAGATTTACTAACAAATTTGTTACAACACCATAATTTAACTTCAGAAGTACATATCTATGCTCAGATCATCTGTGTGCAGGCAAGATCAGATGCCATGCACACTTGCAATTTTCTGTTTCCTATTCCTACAAAGAGAATCCAGAGAAAGTCCAAATGTAAAACCTAGAACAACACATATTCTAATGCAAAATTTGATTTGCTGCTCTAGATTTTGTTTGCACACCTTTCTTTGTGAATCTTTACAGTAACACTTAAGCAAATTCAGATACTACATACAGAATGGATTACTCTGACTAACCATTAATCTCATTACAAGAGATGATTAAATATTACTGAAGCATTATTCATATCACAGTTAAAACTGACTTTTGTCTCTACCTTATGGATGTTATTACTTCATGTATGAGAAGCAGTGTATATTCCATCATATTTCAGTATAGGATTGTTCTCATTTCAGAGAAAACAGAGGTAAAACCAAGCTGGAAGCTTCACTTCACACTGGAGTGAGATCACAGACAGTAAAGTACTCTAATAGCTAATACACAGTAATTGTAATGTTTCACACAGGAACAAAAAATTAATCTGGGCATTCTGATTATGCACTTATATATTGAAATATGCGTGGATTTACATTTCCCTACATTTTTAATTTTCTGCATTATTTTAATATATTTCACTAAGCTTTAAATTAGTTTGAATTAAGTGTATTTTCTTAAACCCAGTAAGCTTTCATACATGCTCCCAACTACTGTGGTCCTGTAAGTTACTTAACCAGCTCAGTTTTCTAGAAGATGGGAAGCCAGATGCAGCTGGAAAGAGTAACTGTTCAGTACTGAAAATGGATGTGAAGTTCAGACACACAGATGGGAACTGCAAGGCCCTATCAAAAGGAGATGACATGGATGGGCAGTATCCTCATCTTCTTTTGTGGGATGGAGACCTGAAAGTCTGGCATTTTCTCTCCCAGCTGAAAAAAACAAATAAATAAACAGAACACCCCACGAAAACCACAAAAAAAATCCACCCTACTTAAGATTTTAGAATGACTGATAGGACTGTTCATTAGAAAGCATCTGGGGAAGAAGAAAAGCATGGAGTTTTTTGCAGCCTGTTTTGTTTTTGATCCTGTTTCAGTGTCAGCAGATAACCATGAATGATTAAACCTAGCTCAGATAACCTGGCTAGAGGTATGTTCTATATTTTAAAAGTCCTTGGTTTGTGTGAATTTAGTCACCTTCTTAGGATAACATAAGCAAATCCATTCTAATTGCAAACTCCCAGATTTGCACAAAACACACATCTGTATTCTTCAACCACTTTCAGACCCCTTTTTCCAGGGCTGCCTGCATTCACATGTTTAGCAGCTCTGTTCCACATTCTTGCAACCCACTGAGACCTCAAATATCCAGCTGGGCTGACAGAGGAGTCTGTAATTGTTGCTGCTAGCAACAAGGGGCCACTGTGGCACCTGCTGAGCCAAGCAGCTTCTCTGCTTCTTGTCTCGTTCTTTCCTGTGATGGAGCTGAACTCAAAAAGTTCAACCAGAAAAAGAAGGCAACAGCCCCTTCACACCAAGAGAAGTGGCAGGAGAGGAAGGTTCAGATTCACTCATCATCCACCCAGGATGACACAGCTGCTGGGTGCCTGCAGCTTGTCCCAGGTCTTATCCCAAGTCGAGCTGGGAGCAGGTGGGCAGACAGAAGTGGAAGTTTGTGGTCACAGGTACATTTTGTAGGATTCAGTTCATTAAATAATTAGAGAGAGCAAAATGAGATGTACAGCACAAAACAGCTGCTTGTGGGTCATGCCAGATCTGCTGTACCTTTGTCTGAAGCTCCATGCCCATCCTGCCACACACGTGGCAGATGACACATCACCAGCTCATTGACAGTACCCCAGGCTCTGCAACCTGCAGGCTCTGGTACAATGAACTCAACACCTGCCCAGCGAGAAAGGCCCCGGGAGCCTGGACATAACCTGCTAAGACTTTTGTAAGGGAAAGGAGTCAGAGTACAGGAGTCAAGAACTCCTAAGTATGGGTCCTGTCTCGGCCATTAGTTCACCATGGGCTCAAACCAACCAGTTCACCTGCCTCGCCAGGCAAGAACTACAGCCTTTCTATTGCAAACTCAGGTTTTCATTATTACAGCTGTCCAGACTACAACAAACTTTACTGAGAAAAGCTGCTTGATGGTCGACTTGGGGTTAACTCAGTCATGTATGTCACCACAAATAAATCGTTAAAAAGCAGATGGCTGAGTGCCCCTCACAGCATAAAGGTGCAGCATTAAGACTACATATGAATTGCAGCTCCCAGCTGACTTGGCACCTTAATTTTTGCAAAGAGCAGCAATTCTTCAGGCATAAAATTCTCATGTACCTTTTCAAAGAAAATTTTTGGGCTTCCCAAGTTGCTCTATTTTGTTTTCTTCATGCTTACTGAGGGGTTTTAATAATTTCTTACACTTCAAATTAAAGGTTATTTGACCCTTTTGGTGAAATGGTGCACAAATTGTTTTGAGGCTTCATTCTGGTATACTTTCCAAAGAAACCATTGTCACAAAAGAAGAAATACCCTTACAGCTTAGGACGCTATCTGATCATACAGATGATTCACTTTCATTTATGTCCAAAGCCACAACAAAAACAGTTCCTATGGGACATGGCTCTAAGAGGAGCTATCTTTCTGAGAAAGGACACAGTGGTTACGTGTTTCTGAGCTCAAGGAGTTAAGTCTGTATTCTGGAAAGCACCCAGGCAGGCCCAGTATGTTTATGAATACAGAAAGTCATGCCTTCAGGGCTGGAGGAAGTTACAGTATCTTACAAACTCGCTCTCTGTAACCACTGATGAGGCCCATTTTTATTGGCTAGGATCAATCTGTAAATCAGAGCTAGATGTATTTTGAGCAGGTCAACTTGAAAATCGCCATTCCTTCTCCCTTTTCTAGAGGACTTAGGCTGCAGTCCTTCTTGACTCCCTTTAGTTCTCCTCTTTCTTTTCAGTCCTGAGCCAGCATTCATGATTCTTCCTTTAACTTTGCAGAATAGAGAAGTGTGAAACAAGCTCTCATTTTCTTAACATGTAGAGTGATCCCTGAATGATCCCATCTCCACCTGTGACTGTGTTGCTGCTACTTCACTGTTGGTGCAAGAGGTTTTTGAATGTATGGCTTCAGATTATGACAGTTCAGGAAAAGACCAAAGTTCCTTGACATCTTAAAGACAAAGAAAAGGGGAAAATCCTCTGCTGAGTAAAGAAAGCTTACTGGACCCAGCCCAGCCCATCTGGCTGATGCCAGCATTGAAGGGGAAGGCTAATTGCCTGTACCATCTGTCTCTAAGAGGGCTAATTGGTGACATCAGATACCAGCAGGGGTTCCTGCATTTCTTCAACTACCTATTTGGTAATCTCAGAAGCTACAGAAAGAAAGAAGGGCTTCCATTTCTGAAAGGTATGACATGCAGAAGACTGATTTTGGAGAAATGACACCTAGCTCTCTGAGACTTTGAGGTACTGAAGACCACTCACTGCCTTGAGCTCCTGAGACACATAGTGGGACTTCAGTAGGTCTGAATTTAGGAATATATGTCATGTGGGGAGTACCATAAGGTAGTGAAAAATGTTTCTTTCATATATATATATATAATGTGTATATATATATACATGGCCTAGAAATACCTTCTTGTATCCTCTAATATTCCCAAACACATTTCCAGACAGTCATCACACTTAATCATTATTTTCAGCTGAAGCATTTGTCCTTGCCCAGAACAAGACCTCCCCCGTAATGCTATCATCAGAGACTACCAAAAAAGTGTATCTGTCTCTCAAAATCTTTTAGCTCTCTTGCAGTTAAAATTTCCAACCCTTACTTTGCACTGCCTTATATATCAAACTTTGTCCCACCAAAAAAAGAGGTCTAAAGATGAATTCCAGAAAATGAGTTATTTTATCCAATTTAGGCAGCAGAAAGATAAGGATACAATGCAGCTCTGGCCCTTGTACAGGAAGAATTAACCTGTAATGTTTGAGTACAACTGTCAGCAGAGAGGAGTGAAAACTGGATGTCCTCACTGACACAAGCTCCTGAAGATACCAAGCACACTGAAGAAGACAGGAAAATCTCCCTAGAAACTCACTGGAAGCTTTTTTCCTAGAAGGGACTGCAAGACACCAAGTCAACAAAAACTGGATTCACGTTCAATGGGAGAAAGGCAGGATTTAATTGTTCCAGGAAAGTTTTAAAAGAAACTATCTGGAAGAGTGCAGATTTGAACAGGTTGGCACCAGTTGCTGTTATAACATACAAAGTGAGGAAGTGAATACTGCAAAACAAGCAAAACTTCTTAGTCAGGTCGAACAGAAGAATTATTATTTCCTAGGCAGGCCTCGAGGTGTAATAGCCACTTAATATACTGCCAGAGAGAATGCAGATTTTCAAATTCAAACTCTGTGCCCTGCTGCTGGGGGAGGCAAGACTGGGCACGGCTGTGGAAACACTGGAAGGATTATAGCTCACCTTCACCTCCTGCAACAAGCTCTAATTAACATGAGGATCAGTATGGACAGAATTCAAGGGAAATCATGAACAGCTCACTAGAGACTTGTGAGGAACTGATTCTGTAATTTACTCTACAAATCATAGCAGGTACTTAGACTGGGAAACTGATGTAGGTCTCAGAAGATTCTTCCCTGATTATTTCAGATGAGGAATGTAGTGAATATTACTAGTTGTCTGAGAAACAAGGTGAGGAGCCGATCACATGAAGACTAACTATTACCTCAAATGAAAAAAAAATTCAGGGCATTACCCAGAGTTTTCCTCATACCAGGTTCAGGTAAGACAAAAGAAACTTTGCTCAGCTGGCTGTAAGTTACTGTCGGCTGCACATTCCTGAAAACCCCATGTTGAGACCTTCATACAGCACAGCACAGGCAGGCAAATCACTTGCAGGGATGACAGAACTTTTCATTTTCAGAAGTAAGTTATCTATAATGGGAGAACACTAACTGGAAGCATTATAGGAACAGTATCTATTGCCAGCATTTTGTATCCTTCCCTATTCAAGAGTCAGAGAACACTAAATGTTAAAAGAGGATGTTAAAAGCTGAAGAGAACCCAGGTGATTTGAGGAATTATCAAAAAAAAAGTCCTTGTTTTCCAGTGTGAAAGGTTCCCAAGAAGTGTTTTAAACCATAATTGTACTTGTAGGAACAATTACAGTTTTGTACTGCAAGAGGAGCTGTTGGCACATACTACTCTGATTGTGCATTAGATCATCCACTAGCGTCTGCAATATCCACTTCCAGCTATAAGGAGTCATGTTTCAACACCTCCGATTCCCTGATGCTGACAAGCTAAACAACTTGTTTTGTCTCTGGGAGCTCTTCTCTGGTGATTAACTGCTTATGGTGAATACTAATTATATGAAAGTACAGTACAGTAGAAATAGTGTCCTATTTCCTCTACCTGCAGCATCTCCATCCTCTTCTGTAGAGACTGTGCACTATTAACTCGGCTAAAACCAAAAAGATGACATTTTTCAGACCCACAAATAGGTTAATCTGTCTCTTACAGCAAAACTTTATCTTCCTGTCTGCACAGTAAGTTTAAAAGCAAAACACTGCACATTTGTAAACGCCTGTAATAATTCTAGAAATAAATTTGCAGCAGGATGTGTGCAAATGAGTTCTGTTGGTGGTAAAGGCAGAGCAACGTCCCCAGCTCCCCACATCCCAGATTGAAAATTTACCCCAAATTATCCATTCCTGAAACTGCACCTCAGACTAGGATCTTTCCACCAGGGAGTTTATGAGAATTTGTTCTTCAATTTTAAATCTAAAGTGCCTTTTAAAACGCTAACACTGCAAAATTAGAAACCATTAAACAATACAAGGCAGAGAGTGATTAAATCTACCAAACACATTCAAAGCAGCTTAAGCTACTTTTTAATTAAAAAGGAAAAGATATCACTGGCAACATTCAGACATCTTTATCTAGATAAAGTTAGGAGATTATTCAAAATACAGAAGTGCTGATGCTACCATGCAGGAGCCGAAATGAAAGGACTTGAAGATTTCAATCCCTCCGCCCTAGGTGCCGAGTCTCCGGGCAGAGAGGAAGGGAGCACAGCCCGTGCTGCAGTGTGAGCACTCCATGGCTGCTGATTAAATAAGTGACACTAACAGCGGCCTTGGAGGGAGGCTGTGCGTTCCTCCTTCCTTCCTGACAGGATGGTGAGTAGCTACAGCAATTGAGTAATGGGTAACAAGATGTATCAGGGAGGAAAGAAGATCAGTTGGTGTTTCAAGAGCCAGTTTTAATAGAGAAAAGAAGGCTGCAACTTACTGGTATCATTTTATTTTTTAAGCAGCAGATTTCAACAGAAAACAGCATAAGCTTTTAAAGGTACATCCAGACCCCAGGCTTGTGGCTCAAATTCAGGCTCCAGAGAAGCAGACACAGTTCTGCTGAAGCACTGCAATTATTTCCACTTATGTTAAAGCTAAATTCAAACCTGCAGCTTTAAGTTTTTGTGTTAATTTAAAGAAAAGAACATGAAAAATAACCAGCAGTTTTAGTCAACCACAGACAAGATGCCAGGAGCTAAAGATCAGCCTCCTTCAGGCTGAGATGATATCATCTGCTCCAAGATCCTGAAGATCTGTGTTGGGAGTGTTACAAAATTTGCTGGTGAACAGCCTCATCTTTTACTTTCTAGCTGTGTATGATCATTACTCTTTTTCTCTATTCAACACAAAACCGGTGGGTTTAACATCTATTGCATCCAACATATTTTTATTCTTCCCTCTGTCTAATAGAGGATTGGTCTTACCTAAAAAGCACGCTCTAAAATAAAGCACAGGCACTTGGTAACTGATGGAGTACAAGACATGATATTCATAGCGGATCACTTCTTCTGTTGCACAAACTCCAGCTGCTTGAGAATCATCCAAAGACTCCTAAAAGAACAAACACAAACAGAGTAATACATCAACTTTTGTATCTGAATCAAGGGAAAAGTAATTACTACTACTGCAATAAATTCAGTAAATACACAGAACAAGAAATAATGGTAACACCCCTTTCACAGCACTACTGATTTAAACCCCAAAGGAATTCTTCAGTGCTAGCAAGAAAATCACAAAAGTACAAAACCCACAAAGACATCTAGCAGACCTGCTTCCACAAACTGTGAGCTATGGGTAAGCACTTACAGCATTGAGGTCTTTCTAAGTGCAGGCTGCTTTCCTAAGCAAAAGACAAAACTCTCTAAAATCTTTATGGCACAATAACTGGTACAATAAGGTGACTACAGCTGCACCTCTCCTCATTACCTTTAGTATAAACTATTGTAAAAGTGTATCCCTAAACAATCTGGGTTTGTTCGCCAAAAGACAAATCTTTTTGCCAGAGGTTGTTTTCGGTAATAACACCTCTAAAACTGAGGTAATGTACTTCTGTTAATGTATATTTCAGGTGTAAAGTAAGTAAAGTTTCTTGTAGATTTGATATAAATAAGGAGAGAATTTATTGCATTGAAATATACCCCAGTTGCAGCATAAACTTCCTAACACTTCAAATTAGTATTCAAACTGTGCTTAAGCACCCAGTTGTTTTGACTTTTCTAAAAACTGCCAATAATCAACATCTCTGAAAATGGAACCATTAAATTAATAATGCCATTAATATTAAATGTTGGAACAAACTTTCCAAGAAGACACTGTGGGTGTGGACTTGTTTAGTTTTCAAACCCCCAAGTTTACATGGATGAACTAAGCAGCCATAATGCCCCACAGGTTGGGTGTGCATTTCACAACTTGACTATTGCCAAGCAACTGTGAGTATTGGCTTACTGTCTGTGTCCAAGCAAAATAAAAATGACTGGAGAGAAAAGAAGAACCAGCATCCTATGAACACTATGCCAGTTTAACACACAAGAAATTTAAAGCCACTTTGCATTTTTACCTCACAGCCTTCACTCAGTGATTAATCAATCTTTGAAGAGATATAAGAACTGATAAACTGTAACAGTAATGACACAAAATACTTTCAATTTTTTTTTTTTTTTTTTTATAGCCCCCACAAAAGTGATTTCCCCCCAGTTTGGTGTACTAGACAACCAGATGCTGCTGAGACACATGAAAAGAAGATCACAATTGGAAAGCTCAGACCTCAGGAAGCTACAGAGCACGGTACTGTAAATACATTTTTGGGCATTAAATGAGAAAAGCCTAGATGCTTACAGAATAGGTTTCTGGTAAATTCTGGAAGACTGCAGGAATGGCTGATTTTAGCTTATCAGGAAACAGACATCTAAAGCATTGAAAGGAAATGTTAAAGAAAGTGCTTTCTCTGTTAACCTAGCTTTAAAAGCTGTATGTGAAGGCAAAATAAAGAGAACATGCCAGAAGGGACAATGATGATTTCTGTATCTGACTTCACAGGCCAGGTGAAGTTAGGTGCACTATGCCCAGCTACCATGTGAATATGTAGCAGACTAAGAAGGCAAGTTCTTTTCCTCCTCACACGTACAATCTGATCAAGCACGAAATACAAATTTTTAAAGATCTCTCAAGGAAAACAGAAATTTCTTCACTATAGGAAGGTAAACTTCCTTTAAAATGGATCCATTTTCAGTGCTTTAGCAAGAATTGTAAAAGACAGCAGAGCAGCAGACTGTGAGCAAAATATATTTGCCTTCAAGTTTGTAGGGGTGGGAAAGAGAAAGAGTCCACATTCAGAACTGAACCTACATTAAAATTGACAAAATTCTTTTGGATCAACCTCCCAGAATAAAAATCATACTTCACTACTGACATCAACATTTCTCAGATATTATGGCCTTGGCTGTTGCTTAGTGTTCCCTGACCCTAAAAAATACTTCTGGAAATGGCACAACTACGTGTTCACGTATTAAATACTACCGTTCTAGAAAAAAAGCTGCATGAATACACATACTTCTTTCTATTACTTTCTGTAAATAAGACTGCCTATCCTCACATAAATACTGGTATCTAATTTCTGGCTATTTTAGACAGAATGATAAAGAATCTATATTCTTTATTACCTGCAAATACTTAGGAAAAGAAGTTAATACTAACTCAAAATTTAAACACTCAAACATGTATACCCTTAGGGAAAACACGCTTTATAAAAAAAGAAAAAAACCTACTTACTATCTCATAAAGTCATAAATTAAGCTAGGAACAACTTAAAGAATCACAGAATGGTTTGAGTTGGAAGGGACCTTAAAGATCATCTCACTCCAACTTCCTTGCCATGGGCAAGGACAACTCCCACTAGACCAGGTTGCACAAGGCCCCATCCAACCTGGTCTGGAACACCTCCAGTGGTGGAGCATCCACAGCTTCCCTGGGCAACCTGTTCCAGTGTCTCAACACCTTCACAGTGAAGAACTTCTTCCCGACATCTAAGCTACATCCACCCTCCACCAGTCTGAACCCATGACCACTTGTCCCATCACTACAAGCCCTTGTAGAAAGTCTCTCCCCAGCTTTCTTGTAGGCACCCTTCTGATTCTGGAAGGCTGCCATAAGATCTCCCCAGAGCCTCCTCTTCTCCAGGCTGAACAACCCCATCACTAAGAATTCAAATTACTGGGTTAGCACAGATTACAGCTGGTAAGCAACTTCTATCTTCATTTGCTGGACTAGGAAAAGGAAAGCAAAGGAGACTTTCCAATGTCATTGTTCCTTGAGGCAATCCCTAAGCAATCTTAAGAACTCCTGCCATTACCAAACGTACACAAGCTGGTAAGGTACTTCACAAAATGTCCTATTACTTCCAGAGAAAGGTGAGTTTATCCACAAGTGGCCTTCCCAGAAGATGTAAGTAGTTTGATGTCAGGAGGGGAAACACAGAAAGGAAGAAGGCAGCTTGACTGCTTTACTCTTTCCGAGAGAGGAATATGTCCAGACACATTTATTTTGCATTATCCTGGATTTTTCTGACAGTTTCGGCAGTTTCTGAAAAAAGCATTCAGCTGAATGCAAAGCTCAAAGAAGCTTTGAAACTGACACTGTTCTGCTCTGTAACAAGATGGACTTCAGTCTCCTACAAAATTTCTATACTTCTTCAAAACAAGTTTCTGATACGCAGATCTCTTTTTCTGCTGTTTCTAGTGACAAGTGAGCACACTGTATTTGTGATCTGCATACACAGGTAGACAGATGAGTCCTTCTTAGGGCTACTTCTAATCCCCTTTCAGTAAACAGCACTTTCAAGCTTTCTTACATAAAAAAGATGCAGCATTGATGTGTAATCCTGTACTTTACAGTCTCTGTAAGTGTAACTCATGCAGGGAAAGTACACTGTGGAGACTAAACGTTTTGATGTTATCTCTAGCTGATGAGATTAACTTTGCTGATAACAAGAATAAAATGACTAGTCATTTTAGGCCATCTTTGGAACATCTGAAAATCTTGTGCACGGCTGAACAAAGCCGTGGAGCATCAGAAAATTTTTTATCAGCACAGAAGAAATTTTTCACTCTTTAACCAATGACTGATAAAGACAAAAATATAAAATGTAAGTATAACTTACCAAAAAAAAAAGAAAAAACATAATTTTATTTTTACATATGTCATATGATACCCTATTTAATTTTTTTCTTCAGGTAGTTGTTCTAATGTCCTTTTTCATGTATAATGCCATTCCATCTGGTTTTGAGCTACAGCTGGATTTTAGTTACTGCAATAGACTATATCAAAATCAATTTTAACTGGAATTCTTCATAACTTCCGCAAAAGATTCACACATCTATACACATCACAAAATATACTAATAACTTTGCTTAGATCTTGTAAAGATAAAACAAACATATCTGTGCTAAAAGGAAAAAAAGTTAACAAAAAAGGGGGGTTGACCAAATTGCAGTCATTAAAAATGCCATGAACTAATTTGATTTCTCAATTTTTTGCTTCTGCTTTGCAAATTTGCTTGTATGCTTGCCATGTTTCAAGTTAAAACTGTGAATCCAGGACTCACTGACTGTTTCTTAAACAAATTGGGAAGTTGTCATCAGGAAGCATCTGCTCCTCTGTTGCTCTCACGTAAAATCATTCTTGTGCTACCAAAATGGATTATTGAGCAGATGTTTAAAAGCAAAGTATGTATTAGAAAAAAGATAAGCAGGGACTACCTAATTAATTATATTAGTTCCATCACAAATGAATTATCACTAATTTTAATTGATATAAAATTGTTCTCAACCTTTAATTATCCCCTAAACAAATTAAGTTGATTTGCACCTTTTAAAATGCTGAATTATTTGATAAGAAATGATGCCGCATGTCACTCTGAAGGCAAAATAAAGTGTTTGTATGATTTTTATTCCTCCTGATGAAAATGGCAAGTTTAAAATCCCTGGTAGCAAGTTAATTTGACAGCAGGAGAGAGCTAATAGCCTGTTCTGGTACTTTTTAGTAGAAACTGCTCTGCAGACTGAAGAGCTGCAGGAAGGTATGGGTTAAGGCAGGTCACCTTTGGAGGGAGGGCTCCAAAAGGAAAGGGAAGGGCCAGGGAAATGACAGGCAGGGTAAACTAGGAAGGCGACAGAATGACTGAATAAAAAAAAGGATTTTTCTCTGCTGACACCAAACATTTCCCTCTCCCAACTCACTCGCAGAGGCCAGCTGAGCCAGCCTTCCTTGCTCAGCCCAATTTCCCTTTGAAATGCAGAGGCAAGCCCTAATGCCCTTTTTTATTTATTTATTTATTTTTTTTTTGGAAAAGCTAAAAGAAGTGGTTTAGGGAACAGTGGGTACATTTCTCCTGGATCTCAAGTCTGTGCTGCCTTTCTCCCAATTCCCATGTTCCTCCTCTCTTGCCTGCTGTCTTGACCCCTATTTCCTCCTGCAGCAGGCCAGCCTCCTGGGAAATTCTCCTGCAGGAGCCCGGCAGGACTGGGCTGCAAGCAGGAAAGGGAGGAAGAGGTGAC